GCAGCCCCCCTCTGTCTGGCATTCTGCCTCTGTGCCCCAGGACTGCAGCCTGAGAGCAATTAGCTTTGGGGGGAGTGATTTTTTCCCCTTTTTGTTTTTTTATTCTTTGTAATTTATGGGGGATTTTTTTCCTGGCTTGGCATTCCCTTTTCTCCCACCACGGAAGCCCCTAATATCCATTGGCAGAGATGGGTTTCTATGTTCTGCAGCTTTGTGCTGCCTAATCGCCTGCCCTGATCTAAACTTGGGCGGCTGGTTGTCTCTGTGTATGTTTAGTGAATAGAAGATGCTGTGTATGAGGTCATCACCCCCGTCGTTTTTTTTCAGCCACAGGCAGCTTCCTAGTCTTTATTGATGTGAAAAGGAGAAACAATTGTTTTAAATCTTTCTTGAATTTCCTAGGCATTAGAAAGTGCATAATGAGCACAGAGAGCCTTAGTAAAAAAAGAGCACAGTCAAAGATTTCCCAGCTGAGATTATGGGGATTTAGACGTTGTCCCGTTTTTGTTTGTATAAAACTACTGTTTTCAGGTGTGCTAAGAATGTGTTTATTTCTGAAAATACATGAACAGTTTTAAGATAAATCAGGTAATAGACTTTAACTCTTTTTCAAGTTTAGAATGTTACACCTGATTCAAGCCAACCTTAAATTCCCAAAGATTTTTTTTGTTAGAGCTCACCAGAAGGATTCTGGTTTTGTGTGCATTCTTGATTGTAAAGGTCTCTTGGTAATACATGTTTCACACAGTACAGTTTTTACTGTTTCAGGATCCTCAATGCTGGAAACAGGAACCAATTTATGCTTTACTAAGAAATATATGCTATGGCTTGATAAACGTGTGCAATGGTAGGAGACTAAGGAACCTAGCTTGTTCTTTAATCAGCTACTGTTTATAACTGAATGGGAGGGAAATGGCTACGTTTTCAGATTTAAAATGTTCAGTTTCTCAAACCTTTTTTAAGAGGTCCTTTTGGTGTGCCTTCTCAAACCTGTTGTTTGAGTGACGCCAATTCCACAATATAAACGAGAAATCAAGTGCTCTAGTCTAAGGTTATTTGATTTGCTGGTGTTGGCTGAAGAACAAGCAGGAGTTATGTGTGAAGCAGAGAAAAAGCTCCTGGATCGGTTTGCTGAAATATCAGGCCAAAATGTTGCCTCCTACAAACCTCTGAGAGAGATCAGGTAGCGAGTGAGCTCAGTCTTCTGTGGTTTTTGAGGTCTCATCACTTCACCCATCTTGAAGCTTTTTTGCACATATGGGATGTCTGAAGCTGAACCTGAATCTTTTAAATCTTAAAAAAAGAACGTGAATGTCTCAGAAAAATGGCTGCTTTTTGGCAGTCGCTTGTGGAATGAAAACAGCTTAATTTGTATTGGCAAAAGCCAGTAAGGAAAGATGCCTAGAAATTGAGCCACTTATTGAAAAGAAAGCACACCAATGGCTCTGTCAACGATTTTAAGAGTACAGACACTAGGTTGTGCAAACAACATCTTTCACATTTGGTATCATGGTAGTTTTGAAGATCTTTTATGATAAACAAGCAATGCATATTTATGGCATGGATGAGTCCCATAGCTCTCATTAAGAAAACCAGGACGTACTGAAAAAACGTGCTGAACATGAAATACCATGAGTTCACAAGCCCCGTCTAAGTGATAACATTTTGCATGTCAAATCTTCATCGTCACGGTAAAGTCAGTAACTGCAAATGATGCTTTCAGTGATGTCAGAATAAGCTTAACTTATAAGTAGGACACAAAAGCTACACTTATTATTGCTATATAAATTTGAATTCAGTGCATAAGGCTTTTCTAAAAATAAAACTAACAAAGAGTTGAAAATGTCTTGCAGACTTTTTTCTTATTTTTATAGAATGGTCGATCCTTTCAGCAGGACTACAATATGTGCATTTGTACAGAAGTGCCACTACTTGGCTAGTATATTCAGTGATAGCTCATTTATCGCAGACATATCACTGTGGAGACAGGGATTGAAGAAGAGTACATCCTATCTGCATAATATACATGGGGTTTATCTAAGATATCTTTAACCTAAAAAAGTCCTGGAAATGCAACATCATTAAGAATGTTCAACGGGCCTTGTCACATTATTTGAAATATCAGCTAAAGTCTCTTATTTTTGGATCTAATTAGAAGCTAAGCCCATGTTGGTTATCCAGTCGTAGATATGTACGGTAAAGAGAAAGTTTGCCTACTGGACAGATATTACAATTCCCTGAATATGTTTTGATGAGTAGAAAAATACTTTAGTATTTGTGTGTCTTTCTTGTACTATCCCAAATTAATTCTTATCACAAATACTATTTCCTTTATCTTAACTGTGACAAGACTGAAGTCATGCTTATTGGCACCCCCCATCAACTTCGTAAAGCCAATCCTGTAAACCTATCTTTAGATGGTTCTGCTCTTGAGCTTCAGTCTAAATTAAAAAACCTTGGGGTGATATTCGATTCTGGCTTAACATTCGACCAACATGTGCAGCATATTGTCAAAACATTTTTTTCACCTCAGAAATATCGCTAGACTACACCTTATGCTATCACTAACTGTGGCTGGAAAGCTGATCAACACATTTGTGTTCTCTCGAATTGACTACTGTAATGCTCTGCTCACTGGGGTATCTAAATCTACTTTGAACAAACTGCAGTATGTCCAAAATTCAGCAGCCAGAATCCTGACCAGGTCTAGTGCAAGTGATCACATTACTCCTTTCCTGGAGTCCTTGCACTGGCTTCCTGTCAAATTCCATGTGCACATTAAAATCCTCATGCTCACCAACAGTATAAGGCTCTGCATGGCTTGGCACCTCAGTACCTGTCTGAACTATTTCACCCTACTCCCCACCTCGCAACCTTTGCTCTTCTAATTCTGATCTCCTAACTGTCCCCCAAGTCCATCTACATTGTATGGGTGACAGGGCCTTCTCCTGTTAAGCCCCCAAGCTCTGGAACTCCCCAAGGATATCCGAGTCACCTTCTCTAAACTCCTTCAAATCCGGACTCAAAACCTTCTTTAGAAGAGCCTTTACTTAACTGGTTACATTCTTCACCCCTCTGCTTTTCTTAGTACTACCATCCACGGTCTCCTCTGTATATTGTAATTGTGTTTTATCTTGTGTATTCTTTTTATTTATTGTTATTGTCATTCTGTGAAGCGCTTTCAGAAGCCAGCCATTAAAGGTGCTATATAAAATAAAGTTTAGTTTTTATTATTATTACTATGGAACCTGCTTTAAAAGGAAATTGGTATCCAATCAAGCTTGTGTTAAGAGACTGCTAAAAGGATATTCAGTAAATGGTCACTCAACACAGGTAATAATAATAAAACCTTAATTGATACATGAGCCATAATTTCACAGTATCGCTCTTCTTTGACATACCTTTCTGTAATGGTACAGTATACAGCAGAATGGACATTTTAATTGCAGTATAAAACCTAGACATTGTAAAATGAAGATCAGAATTATTTTTTCCTATTTTAGAACCTTCCCAAAGGTTTCCCATGTAAATATGTAATAATGCTATGAGTGACACCATGGATAAGTCAAATTTTCTATAGAGAAAAAAAAATCAAAGGAAGAAAAAAATTAGAAGTCTGGTTTAATTCTTTTAAAGCTACAGTGTCCAGCATTTTAAAATTAAATAGTGGCAGTTAATGTTTGATACACGGGGAGAAAGGAAGACAAATTGTATTAATAATAAAATCACATCTCTCCTTGCTGTTTAAAATGTTCTGAAACTGTATCTTTTCAGTGACATACTTTCCTTCAGTTTCTCTAGCACATATTCCAGGGGAACTGAAAAGCTTCAATAGTAAAACAAGCTCTCATGGTACCATTGATGTAAATTAAGTCCTTCTGTCTCCTGTTTGTCTCAAGCAGTACAAAGTGCTGAGACAATCTTACTTTTTTAGAATTAGTGAATTTAGAATGTATTGCTTGTGCTGTAATTTTGAATATTTTATGACTGTCGTTAATGTACAGTAGTTACAGTATCTAAGAACCTTTAATTTGTTTATCTATGAAATGTTATGAATGTTCAGCCACTTCTTTCACACGGATGAAAACTCACTTAAATGTGAAAAATTTGTTGGAATCATTTTGGTGCAAGATAATTTGGGACAGTTTTCATAAGATAGATGAAGTACTGTAATGTATATGTACTGTACATTGTGGTGTATGTTATCTGGAGGCGTTTAGAATGGTAATTTACAGGTGGTTCAGTGAGCAGACTGTATTTACTGTACCAATAATCATACTGTATGTTATGAGTACAGTACATCTTCTTCATAATGTCTCTATTATTATGGACAGCAGCACATTGGGGTCCATCGTCTTTTTGTCTTGTGTATGCACTTGATAACATTAGATTGGAAAAAAGAAAAGAAATGTTGTAAACATGAGATGGCCATTTTGCCCATATTGCTTGTTTGGTAGTTGAGTGGTTGACTGAAACTAAAATCTCATCCTAAAGGAGCTCAGAGTTTGTACCACAGCAGCCTGTCTGGAACTTGTTTCCCAGATACCCACATTTCTTTGTGTAAAGATATAGTTCAAATTCTTCTCCCTTCAATGACTTCCCTTTATAATTTCCAGTTTTGGCCTACTTAAAGTATTTAAATCAGTGCCATAAGAGGCCATTTTCTGTACAATTCACTTTTTCTGCTGATTAACTTTAGCCTGTTGAACTTAGATTCAGTTAGCCATTGTCTCAAAGAGTTCTGAATTACAGTAACAAGCATCACTGTATTCAGGGATAGGTGGTCTTGTCTGTATGTGGCTGTGTTCATTTCATTTGTTTTTCTATTCTAGTAATAATAATAATAATTTAATTATTGTTATTATTCTTATTATTATTCTAGTGTACTTTCCCACAGGTCTCTGAGCACATGCTGGAATGCATGTGGCTGCAGACATGTCTGTTGATAATGTACAGTATCAGGTGTGGGTGTGTGATGGCCGTTGACCCCTGTGTTGCAGAGCTCGCGGACTGCTCGTTCGGAGGAGGACAGGGACACGCTGTGGGACGCCTGGGGACCCTGGAGCGACTGCTCACGGACCTGTGCTGGGGGAGCCTCCTACTCACTGAGACGATGCCTCAGCTCCAAGTAAATCATTGACTTCGCTTGTGTGTTTCTAACCGTTCAAACAGGCAGATACTAGGTGTATTTCCCAGTTCTCTGTTTGTTCTATTCATGTGATTCTTCATTGTCAGGACATCAGAAAGTTTGTATTCCTGAAACCTGAATCAGGGCAGCTCAGTGGCTTCAGCTTTGCTGCTTTGAAACTCAGGAGCCCGAGGTTCAGTTCCAGATCTGGCTTGTTATCTGTGTGGTGTTTGAATGTTTTCTCCCTGTTCACATGGATATTCCCCTGGGTGCTCCAGTTTTCTCTCACCATCCAAAAACATACTGGTAGGTTAATTGGCTTCTGGAAAAATTGTCCCAGGTGCGAATGTCTGTGTCTGTGTTTGCCCTGCCATGGTCTGACATCCTGCTTTGTGCCCATTGCCTGCTGAAATAGGCCCCAGCTCCCTCACGGCACTGAGTTGGTTAAAACGGTTTGAAAATGGTTTGGAAATGAGGTTTGATCCTAAAATAAAGGTAAATGCATTTTAAGTTGTAACATGTGTCGGACATTGAACAAGTTACAATTGTTCATAGGTACCAGAGGTTCAGTAGTAACAGATATTACGAGAAAAATAAAAACGTTCATCTTCAGAATTTAGCACCCTGTGAAGCACTGAGTTCTTTCTTATTGTGGAAAAGAGTTCAGCTGTGTTTTTAGCCCCACAGATTTTCTCAGAATGGTTTCCATTAAGAACAAGCATTGAAGGGGGGCATTCCCTTGTAGTTTATATCCTGCCAAATTTGATCCGACATATCCCTAATAGTGAAAGTAAATCTTAAAATGAAATCAGCTCCCTTGGGGTGCAATAGAAGTGCTCAAAATGCATTTTATGAGATTGTTAAAGACCCGTGAATGGTCAATGGAGAAATCTGTTGTCATACAACAAAACTAGTTCTGGCTGCACCTTGTAACTGCAAAACAATGTCAATAATGTACTGTAAGTAACTGATGTAGTATTAATCAGTAACATTGTAGCAAAGAACGTTTATCAATTACTCTTTAATCTCATAAGATTGTCACTGTGGATTAAATTAGAAATTTTAGAAAATCTAAAATGGCAATGCCATGTTCTCTATGTGATTCTGAGATGTGAACAGACTGATATAGTATACTATAGGGTATTTTTTCTTGTGTGTGGTTTAAAGCACAAGACTAAGTTACTTCATATGTTCTGTGGTCTGTATGTCCTGATCTATAACACTTTTGTTTGTGAAATAAAATGTCCATTGATCTAATGAAATGCATTATAATGTAAAGTATTTCAGGGGATTTTGCAGGTGGATGAATTAGATGCCTCGTTCTTTTGCTAATGAAAAACATCTTCTTAGGTGCTATCTGAAAAAATTCGGACGAAAAAATCTGTTACAGGAACTTCTTCAGCAAACTTGATGCAGATGTATTCTTTTGACACTTTACACATAGGCTAACACATCTTGAGGATTCTGTGCATAAATAAATGCCAGAGGTCATGTAACCTAATGTAACCTAATTTGGTCACACGCAACACCTGCGATCTGTAGGAATGCATTCAGCCAGCGTAATGATACTGTCTGTATAATTATCGGTAAATGTGGGCGGGGGCGCTGCTCGATGTGGCGACCCGTTGGCTTGAGAGCGCAAATTGATTTATTTTGTTTAGTTTTTTTCTCTTTCCTTTTTATTGCTGCTCGTTCCGTGTCCTTTGCCTTCGCGAAAATGGAACTTTTGAATATGTAATTAATTGAGGACGTCTTATCAACACGATGTGTGTTGCACAGATCCCCACCCACACACAAATGTGCATGTGCTAATACCTTCCTAAATTCTACACACTTTTACTTTCAATGGTCTGTTTGCTGTGATAGTATGAATATTTTTTTCTTAGAGGTGTTTTTTATGTTCTGTTTTGTCTTTATTTCTATCTTGTGCTGTATGTTGCACCCTTTGCTGCTGAAATTACCCCGCTGGGAAAGAATGAATGATTTTGAATAGAATTCTGCTAATGTAATGAATTTTGCAGAAATGTAACTTGGTTTTTAAGAGCATCTACTATAAAAACCCTGCGTCATGAGTCTAGTCAGTTTGATCATTAAACACCCAAGAACTCATTAATTATGAAAAAGCTGATTCCGGTAAAGTTCATGTCTTGATTGAACTGACGGATGTTTTGCCTTATTCTTAATTATACCACTGACAGATGATATTGATCAGTCAACATCACAATTAATTCATCCATTAGCAAGTAAACATGTTTTCCTGCCTACTTTTAAAAACAAAATAATTTTCCAATCCAAGATGTCATACAGATGTGTCACTTTTATTGTAGGTTTCAATTAATTATCCCTATGTACAGTAATTCAGCTTCCAATGTGTCTCTGCACTTTGGTTATTTTGCTAAATGTTCTATAATAGATCTCTCTGTTGAAAAATATTATTACAGAGTAAAATATCCATGTAAAGTGCCTTACAAATATATTCAGGCCTCTGCACAGTTTTTTACATTTTGTTGCAGTCATTACAGTTTGAATTAGCAATTAATATTTATGTACACAAGCTACTCCACATATTCAAAGCAAAAACAAAAAGAAATAAGTGACTAGAGAGAAGTGACTACAGTTTTAATTGCAGATGCTTTATTCTGCCAAATTATATTAATTTAGATGCACAGAAGCTCCATGATGAGCCACACAATTGATTGAGTGACCTCTGTTTGTGCAATAATAGTGGTTCCCATGATTTCACAGATGCACCTGTCTCTGTAAAGGCTTCATAATCTCAAGCAAGGATTCATCCATTAAGACCGAGGAAGTTTCAAAACTACTCTGAGATAAAGTACAAAGCATAGATCAGGAGACAGATAGAAGAAAATCAAAAACACTGAAAATCTCTTTGAGAACTATCATGTCAGTCATTAAAAAGAAGAATGTGTCTCATACCACCCAGACACTGCCTAGATAAGGCTGTCCCTCCTAAATGAGCAGGCGGCCAAGAAAGAAACTGATCAGGGTCTTTGAAAGAAATACAGAGTTCAGTGTATTTGAGATGAGAGAAAATGTCAGTGAGTGAACAGATTCCCTGTCACTGCACAAAGGAGCCCTCTATGCTACTGGATAAAGAATTTCACATCTCACATGGGGTTTGCAAAAAAGAACCTAAGTGATATTGCTACTGTGTGGCAAAATTTGGAGTACAGTATTGTGAAATTACAGGCCATGTATTATTATTATTATTATTATTATTATTATTATTATTATTATTATTATTATTATTATTATTTTCCCTTTAAAGCAAGTTCCACATTCCATAGTATTTGTGATGAGATAGTACAAGAAAGACGCAAAAACATTAAAGTGAATATTCATTCATCAAAACATATTCATGAAATTTGAATATCTGCTCTATCTACTGTACATATCTATGGCTAGATAACCAACATGGACTTAGCTTCTTAGATCCAAAAGTAAGAGGACGAAAGTGAGACTTGCCCAAAAGACATGCAGCTGTAATTGCTGCCAAAGGGGCTTCCATCAAATACTGAGCTCACAGTTCTGAATGCTTATGCAGTCCACACATTTAATTTTTTTCCCTTCAGTTTGTGCTGAGATTTACTGTGACATATCTTTCCTTTAGAAGTCTTCAGTTTGAGCATTCAGGTTTTTAATAAATTATTAAGTTAAAAAAATGTGCATACATGTACATCATTTTGTAATTTCACTTGTTGAAGTATTTAAGATTCTTAACCCCTTTAACCTTAAACGTGCTTTACATGAAAATAAATACTCAAGCCTTACTTATTCAGTATTAAAATGTTTATGAATTATGGGCAATGCAAAAGAAGTCCCTTTCATATTAAAATACAGCCAAGTTAAGATTTCTTGTGTTGGTTAGCTTTGGTGTTCTTAAAGAAAGGGATCCAAGAGCAAAATCACTCAGGGTGGGAATCATGATCACTTGCAGTCAATGTGTGGCAGATCAAAACCCTCTTAAACTGCTTAACGGAGCCCCATGTGTGACTGAATATTCAAAAATATTCTTTAATATGCGTGCATAATTGCCAACCACCCCACACTTCACATGCCAGCACCAGTGCTTTATTAAAAAAAGCAGACAGCCACATTGTGATGCTATTGAGGAAACCAATAATTTTCCAGAAAATCTGCAGTAAGTGTAAATACATTACAGCAATGGAGTTGGTGGTCAGAACTGCAGAGAAAGCTGAGAAGAACAATATGTGGCACATTTGGCACTGAACTGGAGGAGGCTGGATTTGGACATGTACAGCAAGTTATAAAATGTGAGGCATATATTTGGAAAGCACCCAGTGGTAGACGTAGAGCTTTAGGAGCTGTAATGGATTCATCATTGTCAGCTTTTGGGCTTTGTTGAGAAGAACAGAAATGTAAAAATATTGCTGTGATTTGCTCTAACTCTGGTCTCTTTGTGAGAAACGAAGACATGCAATGAAGTCCTTATTGCCATGATGTGGGTTTGGTAAAGCGTCTAATGTAACCATGCATTCGAAAAATACCTTTCCTTTGTAATCTGATAATGTTCAAACTGTAGACTCCAGGCATAAGATACACCAGTAAAAATCTTGGACCTTGGGTAAGCAAGTCATTTGTCAGAGATTCTACTGTGTGTTTAAATCTGTTCTATAATACTGTCAATTAGTAACACTGATGTACAGTAGAACTTGTGTCATTCTTGAGTTAGAGGTATCCACTCATTTTTTCTTCTCTTTTGTAAGATTGTGTATTTTAGGGTGCATGGTGAGGTATCAAAAGAAAATTTGCAACTTAGTTAAAAGCTTTAGATTAGCTTTTGTCTAAGATGAAAGTCCCCTGCACTCAAAATCGAAATCGTAATCAAAGTTACTCCTGTACTGATACTACAAACGTATGTGAAAAATATACAATACCAGTATAGGAGAGTTGTGTGTGCCCTTTATTAAAGGAAAATGCATAATCCTGTTTTAGACAGGTAGACAATTCAGGTGTATTAGCTTTCTAATAATAGAAAGACTCACTCCCCAGATATTAACCAGAGTTTCTAATATTCAGATAGATGCTTCCTATAAGTACAAATTTCCATAAAAAGTTCTGAAATTCACATTTTTATCATTGATGCTTTAGAACCTGTTGAGTCATTGAAAAATGGGTTTTTAAGACTTCCTGCAGACTCAGCAGGCAAAGAAACTCCAGCTGACTCAGATATAAACCACTGTGGGACTTCTGGTGTGTAAAATAGTGAATGGGTCTGAGTGCATGTTTAGAGGAAAAGTCCTTATCTTCCTCCCTCCTGTACAACTCTGACAGTTGTAGCTTGTAGCCATAATTCTCAGCTGAATGTTGAGGAAGGGCGGGGATAGAAAGAATATATCATTAAACAATTTATTTAAATTTGTACAAAAGTTTGTATGTTGTGCAAATTGTTCTTATATTCTTACTTGAGGTTTCGATTACCTTACTATGTACAGAATCAAAGTAATCATTCCCTTCTGATAAATGCTGACAGTCCAAATAATAATTCTGAATTGTTTTCTTGCATATTTTAGGAAAATGATTAATGAAATCTCAAACTGAAATTTCTAAAGTGATAGCATTGAATGCAATCCAGTCTTCCTCTACATAAGGAGATATTGGTAGAGTTATCATAGTTGTCATGGTTTTTGATCTTTAAAAAGCTCTTCCATTCCTTTTGAATTGCAACTATACAGTATTTAACTTGCAACTAATGAATATTTGACTATTATTAAATTGCTTTTGTAATGGTAATTTGTCATGGTGTATGTAAATCAGTTTCCTGCAATTATATTCCTTGCCCTTATGGAACAGGAACATATGCAATATGTTTTATGTATCTTTTCTGAAAAGTGACTGATTGCTGTAGTGAACTTTCTGCCAAAACCCTTATCAAACAGCAGAAGGTACATGCCTATGTTACTGTAGCTGTGTATGTTGGTAACTGTTCAGAAGTTGCATGTAAGCTTGGGAATTCTGGACACCTTTTGCAAACACATGATGTCACAAGAATTCCTGATCACCTTCCCCATTCAACCTAACATTCTTAGTCCAAAAAGAGATAAATCTGAATTACTTTAAGAATAATTCAGTTTTTTTTATTACCAAGAAAGCAAAATTTGCCATGATATGGGATGCCATTGAGTCTTTTCACATTTATTCTTACATGCTATAATAAATACAGTACTACTGGGGTTTTCTTAGAGGTAAAGCAGAATTTCGGTAGTGCAAAATTCCAGAATCTCTTAACCAGTTTTAGCATGGCAATACCAGTAATAAAAATTAGTATTTATATATTTCTATGTTCTACAATGCAGTTGCCATATCAAGTGCATTTAAGTAAACGATTGATTTTAGTTTCAAACTTAATGAGGAGTTATTGTATACCATTCCTCACCCCTATAGAAGTTATATTTTGTATAGAATTTTCTTACATTGAGGACTTTTACCAGATTAAAGTTACAACCTGAGATATTTTGCTTATCAGAGCGGTTAGATTACTTTTTTAAAAAATCCAATAGCCACTGTCAAGTCTCTTCTTAAAACTGTCTTTCTAAATAGATCTGTCATCCACAGCAGTACCTGGTAACTAAATCTGTAAATACCTCACCACAAACCTCTGAATGAAGATCCCAGTTTAAATCCTGCCATTTAAAAATATCCTTAATATCCCTGACATGCTGCATCAGTATTCACTTCATAATGAATATTGTTGAATCCACACAGGCATCTCAATTCTACATTGTTCTTCATATAGATTAATCATACACCATTGAGTGCTCAATTACATCTGCTTGCAACTGTCTAATGTCAATGCTTTCAACAGAAGACCTACAGTATACTATTTCCCAACTAGAGAAATTGGTTCTCACTCTGATTGCATTTTTGATCATTGTTTCTACCACCACGTTAGCACTGCTGTCATGGGTAAGAGGCTGCGACTGAGTCACGTGAACGTAAACTCGCCTCTTCTCTTCCTGTACTGGCAGCATCCCCCAGCTATAAGAACAATTTAATGCTGAAAAAAACTGGTTTTTCCAACTCCTCTTGCAATCAGCAATACAATTTCAACTTGCATACATCTCTTAAAATTACCTTCTACCGATCTTCCTTCCCTGCACCGAAGTCTCATCTTTCAAGTTCCCGGGACTGCGATCT